ACAAAAAAAAAAAAGGATTCGAAGAAGCATTGTTAATTGGAGAAAAGAAGGATAGACAAACTCAAAGTTAATAGAAAAAACTGTTGATTTCCACTAAATAATAATATTCACTCAAACAATTGTTGAGGTGTTGGTATAATTAAGGTCTTAAATTAGTTTAATCTGATTTTAAAAGGAGGCCCTATGAACTTCGCAGTGTTTTGTTCCGTTTAAAGAACAGATGAAAATCACAACGTTTTTGTTCATGAAAAGTCACCTTTGCAATCGGGAATGGATAACCGTAATTGATTACGGTTATCTTATTACTAATTGTTTTAATTTCAATCACCCTTGAAAGCGAAATTGAAATGGAAATGGCTTTTCACATTCCTGAAAGAAATGATGGTTACTACGCTAACGTTTATAATTTTCCAGTTTCATTTGTCATTATCATGTATTAAGAGAAAATGAAGAAAAACACTCAGGTCTCTTTATGTCACAGACCCGGTTTTTGAAAACGCTCTTTAAGTTCTGTGTGCGTGTATTTGAGCTTTGTCGTCAGTAGAGAGAGTTAAGTACCTTTTTATTACACCCATATACAACAGTTAAAAAATGCAAATACAATCAAAGAAACCTGGGCACTCTATGATATATAAACAGTGCAGTGGGCTGATGGTTAGAAGTTATTCTTTTTTTCATGAATGGTTAGAAAACTTGAGGACAATTTTATTACAAGTAATAACGAGCAATTTGAGGAAAAACGTCACATTTTACTTCCCTTTCGCATGGTCTTTGTTGCAAAGCAGGCGCACGTGCGCAAGATTATAGTAGATTTGTTTCGAGGGAAAAAGAAAAAAATTACCTACCGCATACAAAAGTATATACTTTTATTTGTAAAATATGTCTCACAGTATACTATGCGACTTATAAGACAACTAAGACGCGACTTTGGAAAACATTAATTTATCTGTGAAAATTTAATCCAAATAAAAACACAGATGTTCATAGCGACTCAAGTAGACGGAAGTTTTCATACAATCACACGGGGCATTCATACGCCACTTATTGGTTGAGCTAATCATCTGTTTTTAATCTATCCACTTCTTAGCTGCTGGATCAAGTGAAAAACCACGGCGCATGCGCACTGTGTTCACCCCTCAACAGCTTGAGAAACTGGAGCTACACTTTACGTGCCAGCAGTATGTCGGTGGAGCTCAGCGGTTGTACATCGCCAAGCAGTTGGGTCTTTCGGAAACTCAAGTGAAAGTGTGGTTCCAGAACCGAAGAATTAGGTGGCGAAAACAAGTGCTCAGCACTGCAGTGACATCATCCCAGTCATAAATCAGCCAATGAAGTCGTTCTTTTTACAGTAGAAAGCAATCGTTTTGTATGTTGCGTCACCAAAGTGACACCAGAATCAGATCAGAGACTGGATATGTTAAAGATACGTGATATCCCAAGTAAAAATCCAGCCATGCTCCCCCAGAAAATTTTTCAATTAAGGGTCTCGAAAATGCTGTTTTCAGTGCAAATTAACGCGCAGGAAAATGCAGTAGTTAGTTGTTTATTTTAGCCATCTCTAGTGTTGTCGGTAAAGGTTGATTTCCACTGTCGCGTAATTTATACGTGCGTACGCTCGTAAACTTTACGCGAGAAAAAATGAGCAGTCATCCCGATTTAATGATGAAAAAGGGCTTTTTTAGGAAATAAAAAGTATATATTTTTCCATGTTTCAACTATACATGTATTCACGGGCGTATGTGCCTAGATGGACGCTAAGCTCCTGGGTTTTAATTGCAGTTTATTCCCGCAGGTTTCCTGGTTTTGTCGGCTAGTTTTGCCGTTAAGAGAAAGGGATAATTTACACGGTTAAGTTAACAATATAAAATTGTATTTATAGGTTTTCAACATACAAAATTATATCCTTCTCAAAATCTCAGCCTTGCCGGGTTTTTTCTTATCATATTCTTAAAATTTTGCAATTCAGCTTCGATATTCCTATAAAGCATTATTATCAGTAAAAATAGAGTGTAACTTAGCGGTTGCAAGAGCTACACTCACCCGCTTGAAAGATTGCACTTAAAAACGTGGCAAAGGTATTTTAGGTTTACCGATTTCAAATATATCTACAATGCCACAACATTTTCTACAGGCGAAATTATGACGTAACTGACCAAATAAACTTGTCCTCTGCTGTCATTTCCTCATTATTATGATTCATTACTCGCAAAGTTTCAAGGTGTTTTTTCCTTTACCATATCTAATTGAAATGGTAGGCGGTAGCGATTAAACCTTCTATAAGAACTGGCTCCTGCCTTCTCTTTGTCTTCTTCCAAATTTAAATTGTTAGTGACACTAAAAAAGGGTCCACACCTTCTTCGTTTTGTACAAAAAGGAGACCCTACCTATTTCATGTATTTCGGGGCCCTACAAAACGTTTTAGTAAGAGACTTCGTTTTGCAGTATAACCCTGCTTTTTCTACAAGACGAAGACCCTACCTGTTATGAGTAAGCTACGTCAGTTTACATGGGTCTTCTTTTTTTCTGTTTTTGTGTCTTCTTTCTCGGGTCTTCGTTTTTGTCGGTTTTGGGTCTTCGCTTTTTTTAGATACCCCCGGCGTCTTACCAGGGTGACGATTAGCACGCTCCTCGTTCTCCATGTTCTACAATCTCTGGGTGAGAAAGGACTACTCTTGCCGTCAACCCCCTTCCAAGGCTCAATATGCCAGTTTCGAATTGTTTGGAATTACTGAATCATGCTTAGCGAGGATGGAGGGGAATTGAACGGAACACAACGGTAAGAGACTGGGTACGAGGCAGTGCGATACACTTTATGAATCATTACATTAGGTATCTTACGGTGAAGAGATTTTGTATATATGGCGAACACAGCTGACAGAAACGAAGCATGCATTTCTTGCTGCAAATGTTCCCTGGAATACCTCAGTGCTGCTTGTAACAGGACGCCGTTGTGTGTGGATTGGGGAAGGAACGGATGGGTGGCTTACGGTACTTGTCATTCCATTGCTTTGTGGCTTCCAAAGGTTCGTTCTTTAAACACTGTACTAATGTTTGTATGTTGTCTCCTTGTTCCACGTGCATTGATGGAGATGAACTCATTGCGTTAGTTTCTGCTCTTACTGTTACCTTAATAATATCCTTTAAAAATCAATTTCTCTTAGTTATCCTGTATTCAGATTTTACATATTGAGAGGGGTAGAACATTTATTTCGTCTTCGCAAATTCACAGCTGTTGTTATTAAAATGGTAAACATCTGCAGGACCCGGTTGTTCGAAGGCCGATTAGCACTTAACCCGGGGTTAAATGTAACCCGGGTTTCTTTTTCTTGTGTTCAAAAGCATTTTATCGGATAATTTTCTCTGTTATTTTTAGAGCTTCCAATTATCAACTTGTAGACAAAAATAATTAAAACTGAAATGTTTTTTTAAGCTTTCAAATCTGAATTCAAATCTCGCACTAACCCTGGGTTTTCTCAACCCAGCTTTGAACAGCTTGGCCCTGTACAGTGTACGTGTGGCAAATCGTCCAAAAGTCAACTCGCCCAAAGTTATATCGTGCATAATTTAGTGAGCTAATAACCTACACAGTGATGCAGTCACTGTTTTTCCAGGCTTATTCCATTTTCAGTGTCAAAGGATGGCATAGGTTCACGGCTGTGTGTCTCAGATGTCTGTGTGCAAATTAACTGTTTGGGTGAGATGTCTTGTGGGCCACTTACTTGCTAGACAGATTGCCATCTGCAGATCAGCCTGCCAAGATTGCAATCTGCAGATAAGTCTTAAATCACTATTTTCATGGATAACAGTCAACTTTGTTCTTTCACTTTCTTTAGAGAGCCTTTCCACATGGGAGTGTAAAGTATATTCTAAATGGACATAAGGATAGGGTTAACTGTGTCAAGTGGATTCCTCATCCAGCGTTAGGTACATGTAAGATGTGTAATACCTATTAAAGACATTATACAATCGTGCATAAGCTCAAGGGGTATACCGTAGCACCCAAGTAGCCTCCAGGTTGTCACTAAGATTTTAATTTGCCGGGTAAATACAACACATAGCTAGGGGTTTCTTCTGGTTCCAATTTTTTTCTTTTTTCCTTTAAAAGTAGCCGGGGGAAATCCCCGGCCCCTGCCTCTTAATGACAGCCCTGAGCCTCAAACTTGGATAACTCGAACCCATCCCCCCGCCAGCCAAGGTCTGGAAATGGGGGTCCTTATATCCCCCATTCACGCTCCTTCTTAACAAAAATCCTGCATCCCGCACTTTTTTTCATCGCTTTCCCGAATCCCCTTTTTTCTACATAAGTTCAAAAATTCTAATTTCTGCAAAAACTAATAAATGTAAGATATAGATTGGCCCTTTTGTTGATTGATATTTTTAGTTATACTTCAGTATGACAAAGCAGAGGGAAAGAAGAAGCGACAAGGGAGAGAGGAAGGGTTCTTCCCCCTCATTCCCTAACCTCACTCCGTAGTTTTTTTTTCCTGCTCACTTTTCTTTGCACCCCTGTGCTATCTGAATGCCTGGAGCAGGCTATTCTGGTGCTAGAAGACTCCTCTGTGACCGTAATAAAGAAGGACATCAAAACTTTTACCATCTGGTTCAAGGGAGCAGAGTTGAGATCATTCTTAAATTAAACTGATCAAATAATTTCTTTAAGAGTTACAATAAAATGTAAAAAGCTTGGGCAATTACTGGTATGCGAGAACCATCAGCCCAATTCCTGTCATGCAGTTGAATTTGTTGGTTCATCTGTTGATTACTTGACAGCCTGGGTCATTTTATAGTTTGCTTTGATAGGAGACACCACTGAACACTTGCCTGGTTGATTCGCATTTGCCGCTATTTAAACCATCTCACGATTTCCTGAATTCCTGACAGACAGGTAAAAAATCCTGCATCCCGTGCCTAAATTTTGGTGAATCCCACTGCGTTGGTAGGAGTCAAAATAATAATCCCATTTCCTGTCAAGCTATTTTGTCTTCTCCTCGATCCTGCACAATATTTTGGTCAAATTCCAGATCCCAAAATACCCTTCCAGACCCTGACCAGCTCGCACTAGCCCAGATTTTGTGTGGGAATTGTAATATCAACCTTGTTCCCAGGCTGCTTTCTCACTTTCCTAGAAGTCTGGTAACAAGGTAATATTGCACAGGTTTCTCATCAAGTTTAAAGTAGACAGCTAAGATGTAAAAATAGGTGGCTTGGTAACTGAGTGCTGTAGCTAGGCAATTTCAGGCTTTCAGGCTCTCACTTTACCCTAACTGAAGTAGGCATTTCCAGGCCAGCTACAGTGTATTTCCCCAAAGAGTAGGTGGCTCAAACCTTCATGTAGCCGGTTTTTAGCCGGTTGCTGCCACTTAATGAGAACCGTGATTACAGATGATGTCACCTTTAATAGGATATTTTCGGTGTCATTCAATTTAAAGTTTGCAAACTACAGTCTGGCATCTTCAGTCTGGCATCTTCCGCCTGCAGTTTGCAGATGCCATACACTGGATTGGCGTCGAGCCTAGCAGTAATCAATTTTCCATCACCTGTCTCGATGTTACAGGTGATACATCTGCAGTATCAATTCACCAAAGAAGAGGTTTCACACTGATACTAACTTTTTTTTGAGATCACTGCAATAAACTCAATATAACAATCTTTCTCACATCCCCATTTTTGTTCTTTTCACTTTCAGGTGATGAATATGAGTTAATTTCAGGTTCAACAGATAAAACAGTGATTGTTTGGCAGAGGAAAACTACTGAAGACTATCAAGTATGCGGAGTGTATCCAATACTATTATTTTTTATTTGAGATCAGTTCATTGATTTTTTTTGTTAAAATGACTTTTTATTGGATAATTTACAAATGTACATGTATGTAAGGAAATGCCAATATTATCAACAAGCGTCCACTTGTACACTGTTCTCTGGACTAGACAACAATCCATCGTACATATACACCAACAAGATGAATGTCATCATCTGAAACTTTTACAGTCTTATGACATGTACAGAATACCACTAAAAATGGTATACACATGTACATGTATTTTTCATAGTTGACACTCATGAACATGTGTACAGGTATGTGTTACAGGTCAAAATTAAATTCAGGTTAAAATGTATTCTCAATTTTTTTTGTCTTCTAGCCCTAATTTATGATGATTAATTAGGGCTAGGAGACAAAGGGATCGAGAATCAATCTAGATTTAATTTTGACCTGTAACATATGAATCCTATTAACAAAGTATGAAGATTACACTGGGAGAATATTGTCCCAAGGTCTTAAAATACTGTACATTTACATGCATAACGGACCTAGCTAATATTCTGAGTAAAGCTAACTTTTTCTACTAGAGAACTGGCCAACATGGCTTTCAATTGTTCCTGAGAGACAATTTAATTGACTTTCTCTTACTGTTTAATAAGAGCTTTTATGCTGTTGGTGAAAAAAAAAAAAACTTGATTTCTCTGGACAGCAGCAAGCAAACAACAAATGACACAAGTTAACACAAAGTTAACATACTATAGCTATGATCGGCGACAAAATTGTTGAGACATTGTACTTAAATAGGGTAACTTCAGAGAACACAAGAATCCGCACCCCTCCCCTGTCCCCTCCATTCAAAGTTGGGGTGTTTGTTGTTTTCTATAGGTAGCTAGAACAAGGGCACAACATTGCACAGAGGGGTTGGGGGAGGAAAGCTATATTTCCTCCTTTTGAAGTTAATAAAAGGTAAAAAAGCCCAATTTTGAGCGAAGTGTCTCAACTCATTTTGTCGCCCATTGTAGGTACGGAGCTGTAATCTCAACTTGATACAAGTACATTCCCTTATCATAAATTTAATGGCTCTTGGATAGTCTGGGCTGCCTGTGACCTGAGATGCATGAAAGCATAATTATAGTCCTTAGAGTGTCCGTCATGAGAGATAACTGCAATGGATAACCCTACCTCTGTGTGCTTATGTTTTTCATAGTGGAAAGTGTGTGCTATTCTGGAAGGCCATGAGGGAGCTGTTAATTCTGTGGCTGCTGTGACTATACAAGTATCCAACAACAATGCTGATATGAAAACAATCATAGTTTCAGCATCTGCTGACTCATCTGTTAGGATATGGCAAAGAATAGGATCTGGAGGTATGATCACAATGAAGGTTTGACCTAGCCTGTAAAACAGGCACCATTTTTTTGCATTCTTTTGACAGGGAAGGCCCTCTCTTTTCATGCATGGTCTCTCACTCCATGCCTACTTCTTACTTTGTTTGCTGGAAAAACTCCAAAAAAAGCCACTGTTGTGCAGGCAGCTAGGTTAGATCTTACTTGCTGGGAGTTGCTTATTAATCAGAATAAACATAATGTGCATTATACTCTTTCTACTGTGGTTAACTTCCATGCAATTATTGTATTTTGCAGATAAGTTTACTTGTTTACAGACACTCTCTTTTGGCAAAGGATTTATACTAGCAGTGGCAGTTTCCATTCTTCCTGGAACAGTTGGTAAGACAGTACACAATCATGTACTTGCACTCTGTAATATTATCAAACATTCTGTCAGTTATGAAATAATTTTTCTTTTCAGAATTGACTAATTTTTGTCTCTGCTACATGTACATTGTTACAGGTCAAATTTGATTTTAGGTTGATTAATTTTTTATTTAACCCAGGTTGATTCTAATTTCCATGACATTTAATTGTTTTCTAGCCCTAAAAGACAAAGGAATTGTAAATCAACCTAGGTTTAATCAAAATTGACCTGAAATAAAATTTGACCTGTAACATACACAACATGTAGTTAACATTATATTATTGTTATTATTATTTTGTTGTTGTTTAGTTCCAGTAATTGCATGTGGAGGAGAAGACAGCAAAGTTCACCTGTTCACACAAAAATATGATAAGGTACCTGATATGTGAACCTTAGAGATGATATGGAATTAATGTTTATTTTAACTGTATAATACCTGGTACAGGTGATATACGATGGCCCATGTTTATAATTTGTTCACAAAGACAATCTGGTGAATGTTTACTGGCATGATTATTTATCAGTTAACTGAAAATCATGCCATAAAAATTAATGATGATATCACAGCAACAAGAAGAAGTAAAATCCTGCTTTATGCCCCTCAAACCCCGCTTAAGGGACACCCACTTAGACACCACATTATTACAGACAGTGCACTTCCAGCCTTACAAATTCCATTCTATATTATTGTACATGTTTAAAATGGACACCCTGGCCCACTAATATGGTCCCCTTAGTGTCCATGTTAACAGGGTTCAACTGTACATCACAGATCAAATTTAATATTATAATTAATGATAATGATAATAATAATGATAATCATAATAGTTATAATGACAACAACAATGACAATAAAAATGTGATCACCATTACAGACTATATAAAAATGTATTATTTAAGAATTGTGCACTGGAAGGTCTTTAATTATGTCTATTTAACTTGAGTACAATTATTAATAATTATTCTTTCCCTGTCGTTTTGGTGTAGTTTGTAAAAGTTCAGAGCTTATTGGGACACGAAGACTGGATAAGAGGAGTTGAGTTTACAAAAGAAGGTTAGTGACATGGCTGCTCTGATATCAGGGATGGAAACTAAAATTTTGGAGCACTCGCCAACTGGGCGAGTGACATTCAAATTGTACTCGCCCAATCTCCTCTGTAAAAAAAAAAACAACAACAACAACATCAACAACAAAAACAACAACGCTCACTGCATAGAAGTTCACTCACCATTATGCCCTGAAATGGACCGTAATTCCAAACAAAAAGGAAACAGCAGCGAACTTACCTCAAGCGGAAGTGTTGAAAATAGAGCTACATAGCCACATTGTATACCGTAAATGATCTAATAAACGCCCCCTCTCTAATGAACGCCTCTTATCTTATTAACGCCCCCCCTAAGCTGACAAGTTTGTATTAAACGCCCCTCTCCAACAAACGCCCCCCTTCCCTGAAAACCACACATAAACTGGAAACAGATGTACAATACAATCAATCAATTTATTTGCATTCTTGCTTAATTAACACCGGTGTAGTAGTTGCGTCTTGCTCAATTTCCAGTTCAAAGTGAGGATAGTGTTCTTTAATGTTCTTGATCCCATTTCAAGCAATAACTAACTCAGACATAGAAGAGGCCGGCAATGAAAATACCATGGTGCTCGACGAGGACTCGGATGTTGACATTGAGCTATAAGAACTACCATTACGGTACCCTTTTCCACCAATTTGTATGTACCATATACCGTTATGGATTTGTAGAGATATCAGCAGACGGACTTGATAGTCTGCTGAAGCTCTGTCATTTAGATTATTATAATACCGTATTTAGGTTACCGTGTTACAGTTATTAGAATAAACGCCTCTCTCTATTAAACGCCTCTTATCTTTTAAACGCCCCCCCCGCCCCCTGGACCCTTGAAATTTAATAAATGCCCCCCGGCGTTTATTAGATCATTTACGGTACTGTTACTTTCTTAGATGCACTGTTTTTTGAAAACTCTCAGAAGTGTCAAATCCCCCAGCCTCCCTCCTATCCACCTGCCATCTTAAAAATTAACAACAGCCTTGCAGTGCCTTTATTGGCTTGCATTTTAATCCCGAGTTATGTACATTTACTACTAGATGGAAAGACTTCTTTTTCTCTTTTCAGATCGTGGGGACCTTCTTCTTGCAAGCTGTGCTCAGGATACATTCATACGAATCTGGAGAGTTTCTTCTGATAACAAAGTACAAGAAGCTGAATCTGAAATCTTGTGTGATAAGATGCCTGAACTAAAACTGACATCTAATATTTTCTCTGTTGCTGATAAAGGTGTGATAACTAATACTTATTTTAATAATTTAGCATAGGATACAGTGTACATATATTCAATATGTTTATAATAATTTTTCATTATTGTCTAGTTGTCACTCAAGATAACTTATATTTACAGCAGTTTTCTTAAAATAATGAACTTTTAATTGATAGGATTAGAAAGAGAATTTTCGGTAGTGTTGGAATCAGTATTAACAGGACATGAAGGCTGGATTTATGGTGTTCATTGGCATCCTGTTGTCAGGAAAGGTAACTAAACCCTCTGATTTACTGATTATTAATAAATATTATTAGAAATTGCCACTTAGTCAAAATTTTTTTGACATTTGGTTTGCCCCTTTTTTCTACAAATTGTTTCCGATGGGTATCAGACATTCAAAATCCAAGGTGTTTTGGAATTAAATGTTGTCATGCAATTATCACTTTAATAGAGTACATGACACTTTTCAAATTCACTACTCTGCATCAAGACTTTTAAATGTTAATGGTTCAATTCTATGTAATAGTCCCATCAAAGTTTTCAATGTTTTATTTTTAAAACACATCACATAGTATGCAATTATAATTATAATTATAAGTATAAGTATTGTCAAAATACTTTATTGATTTACAACAGTAGCAGGATCTAAATGTTTTAAGTTTCCTGACATATTATTACTACTTCTAAGAGTGCCTTTAGCTTTTTTCCTTGGCATTTGTTTTAGTCTGTTTTCTAATCCTTCATGTGGTACATGTACATGTATATTGAAATTTGTGGTTATTTATTATTAATCATATTTTGATGTCAGATGATGGATCCATCACACAGCCAATGTCACTGCTCACAGCATCAATGGATAAAACATTAATAGTCTGGACTCCAGAAGAGGACTCTGGTGTGTGGTTAGAAAAGGTACAATTTTTGTATAATTCTAGAGCATGATAAGGGAAGCATATTATAACCCACTGATAGCTGAAAAACACATACATGTACAGTTTTTAAAATAAAACCAAATTTTTGTGTATCAAAATGTAGTTAGCCACCACAACTAAGTGCCCCAATGCTTGTATGACCATGGCCGTGTACATGTGTATGGGGGCTGCCCTGCAATATAAAGGTGTCCATTAGCAAAGTGTCTGCTCTTAAATACTGGACTTACATGTAGTATGAGTACTGACCAAGATAATTGGTAATAAAGAGTGCATATATGGCTGAATCCACAATTGGGCAAGATAAGAAAATCCCATGTTCTGATTGGCTATGTACCCAAGTGTGAAAGATGGACCATCTTGTCAGGATTTCCCACATTTGTCCCTGAAGAAAAAGTTCTCTTTTTCGCTATAAATTTATGATAAACCCTTTATTTACCAAGCTTTAATTTTTGGCTAAGATGGCTGCATGACCTTGGCTTCAATCTTTTGGTTCATAAAAATGCAAAAAAATCAATGAATAGATCAATGAATAAATAAATAATTAAAATAATAATACCAAAATGTAACTTGGCTAGCCACCTTGACCAAAAAAAGCTTGCTCAATAAGCCCCATATGGTAACTCATCACCAGACATAAGAAAGAAAGCAGCTTTATGAATAAAGGGGACAATGTGAAAAACGTTCCCAGCGAGGAATGTCCACTGATTTAATAAATGGATGATGCTAGTAGACTGTGAAAAAATTAACAAACCCTACAATGTAGTTTCAACAATGTATAAATTTTAATTCCCTGTAGGTTCGTGTTGGTGAGGTTGGTGGTACCACTCTTGGTTTTTATGGTGGTGTGTTTAGTCCTGATGGTCACTCTATCTTGGGTCATGGCTACCAAGGAGCATTTCATTTATGGAACAATGCCACTTGTGAGGTACAATAACTGTTCTTGTATATTGATTAATCTATTAGCATGGTAATTTCAGTGTTAGTGGAGTGAAGAAATATTTATCAGAAGTGACTTTAAATTTTTCAAAGTTTTGTCTTTGTTGGAATTCGGCTCTAGAATGCATCAGTGTGTACTTGTATAAAGTGGTGCGAGACTGGTTATAATTTTTGAATTTGTTGCTGATTGTTAGAGTGAGAGCAGATGGGAACCAGGAGTGGCTGTCAGTGGACACTTTGGGCCTATTCAGGTGTGGTGATGACAATCTTAGTTAAATAATATAATATTTTATTATTTTTGAATTGTAAACAAGTTTAAGCAGAACAAGTTATTTATGTTAACAACAGGGTAAGAGTAAGAGTACAAAATAATGTTGGATTTTTGGTCAGCTTTTTGTGTCCAGAACTCTCAATCACACCTGTACCAATCTTTTGGCATGAATAGGTGCTGAAAAACACTAAAAGGAATTAGGGAGTGATTATGTTTTTTCGTTCATACACATAGCGTAAGAAATCTGATTGTTAATAAAAATCTGTACAATGGACGTACATCTATGTGTTCGTAATTTCCTACTCTTTGTCCAATCTAAACCACTGTAACCTTTTCACTTCTATAAATTCACAGAAAGTCCAATTTTTTTTTTCGAGAAATCCTTAGAAACAAATAATATAAAATGTAGCACCAGGCAAACAATTCTGCCAAAAGATTTCATTTGAGTAGTTAAACCAAAGGATTTTTTCCACCAGTTTAAAAGTAAGTGTGACATAATTATTTTCATCGTGCCATACTTGGTCTGGTATATAAAATGTAGCACCAGGCAAACAATTCTGCCAAAAGATTTCATTTGAGTAGTTAAACCAAAGGATTTTTTCCACCAGTTTAAAAGTAAGTGTGACATAATTATTTTCATCGTGCCATACTTGGTCTGGGCGTAAAAGGGATATTAGTGAGTGCTCAAGTCAGTCTAAAGTTATTAATTTTATTGTAGGATATTGACTGGGATCCTGCTGATGGACAGTTTCTTGTGAGTGTTAGCAGTGATCAGACTACACGATTACACGCAGCTTGGAAACAAGATGGATTACAGGTACATGTAACTATAGTGTTACTCTCCAAATGACCACATTCCAGTCAAACAAATGTCCCAGATCTTACGTGCCAGTAACCAGTTGTTTCGTCTATTGGCAAATGTACTCCTAAGAGACCAGACATTGTCCCTTTGAGAAGTTACAACGAATGACTCACCCCATGCTATAGGTCTAGCTTCAAACACCCTGCCCGAACCAACAACCAGGGTGTTTAAAAAACTGGTAAGACCATGCTGGCTGTGATTTAAGATCATGTCTCAGTTCAGAGGATCGGGTCATTGGGCGGTGACTTGAAGCTGTTAGCCTTGTCTCCTTCCTCCCTCTTTCATTGGTCAAATCAAAGGGGACGTAAAAGAACCCATACTACTCTTCGAAAAGAGTAGGGACGTTTCCCTGGTGGTGTGGTCCTTCTTGCACGTACAATTCGTATTATGAGCTTGGTGCGGGTGGGTTACATTGAGCTCATAAATGAACTGATAGCGGCTGCCAGTGGCGCTCTTGTGTGCTGACGTCCTTGCTTACTGTTAGCACGTAAACATTATTATATTGTCAAGAAGACACGCCTGTTGCCTTCTCATTCATGGCAGATCACTCATACAAAATACATACCTTCTTACAACTGGGAGTGATACATCATTAGTTATGTGCCACTTTCCAACCAAACACAGCAGTCAGAGCGTTGATGTGTATTGGACCTTTTAGTGGTTAAAGTATAGCAATATAGTGTGAAATAACAATGTTGTTGGTTTTTCATGGTATTGTTCTCTTCAGTCTGTGTGGTGTGAAATAGCTCGTCCACAAGTTCATGGTTATGATATGCAATGTTTGAGCATGCTCAGTAGGTACAGACTGGCTTCTGGTGCAGATGAAAAGGTAAGTGTACATGTATTAAAGATGGCTCCATTGATTTTGTTCTTTGAATTGTTTGCACTTTTCCTTTCGCCATTAGCGAGTCTGGTTTTGGTTCAGTTGGAATCAAACTGAAAAAACAACCATTCTAAAACTTCAAAACATGTTACATCTGTTTCTTTAATACTAATAAAGTTTCAATAAAGCGTGAATTCATTTTGCCACGAAGTCCCCTCATTAAATTATACATCTGACCCTTTAACTACAGGCACCTTGGTTAATTTCCATCACCTTTTTCTTTAATCTTTAATCCCCATTCCCCGAAAAAAGGTCAAATATTAATGTTGTGGTTCAATTTATCCTTGGTTTAAATTTTATTTCCGCTTGTTTCAAACTCTTTAAATCATGAATTGCAAGTACTATACTTAAAAGCAGAAAGAATGGGCGTAAAATCAAGGATAAAGATTCATTGTCTCAATTTTTGTTATTTACAATGGTGTAACTAAATGTGTATAGTTTGGGCTCATTGCAGGTATTAAGAATATTCACCGCTCCTCGCCAGTTTATGGAGACGTTTCAAAGACTTTGTAAAGTTCAAGAAAATAGCAAGGCATGTTCTGGTCCATTGTCATATCTTTAGACTTTCTCAAAGTCCTTCGCTTCTCATTTCCGGTTCCGGTAGTTGGCCCCAGCGCGAAGCTCGCTCTCTCGCTCGCTTTTTCCGCAGAAAACATAAAAAATCTACCGCTCGCGCTTCGCGCTCGTAAAAAAATCGAGATCAACTTGTAGGCAAGTCTATCATATCTCCTACATCCCACCTGGCGGGCAGTGAGGTCGAGTGTTTAGCGCACGCGTGGGACTTGCACTGCAATTCTTGCAATCATGATGAGTCGATACCCAACCTCATCCGAGGTTGGTCGATACCGAGTTACAGTCCCTTTCTGACCATTCAAGAAATAGATTCGATGAAGTTGGCTAAACAACAGATTAAAATCCAATTTTGCTCCATGCAGATTCAGAACAGTTTACCTATTGGAGCCAGTGTGCCTGCTCTTGGACTTTCAAACAAAGCTGTTTTTGACGGTGAGTATTATTTTACAGCTTAGTTGTTAAGGGTTTCCACCGGGCACTGTGGTTTTTTCTTCTTCTTTAAAAGCAATTCTTTCAAGTTACAACTCGTTCTTGAATGAGCCTTTTAATAGCTCTTTAATATTGGTAACGAAAGATAATTTACTTTACTTTTTTTCTGTTACAACTCTTTTTGTAGGTGACTTGGATAGCTTGAGAAGAGACCTTGAAGATCCAGCCAGACCGATGAAGTCTTCAGCTTTTGCGAGTGAAGAACCTGCCCCCTTTACACCTGTCTCATTAAAAGGTTTGGCCAGAGTTCCTGTGGCGTGAAGCATGTAGTAGTGGCGATACTCACCCAGAAGGGATATGAGGCCGTCGAGCTTTGGGGGCTGAAGCAACCACGAGTTGAATTTTTTAAGGATTGTGTCCAAGTTCATTTAAGGATAAAAAGCAACGCTATTAAAACATGACGTTTCGGCGACGTCACCATTATCAAATGCAAATAAAAGATACTATGAAACGATATAGGAAACGATGGTGTGAAACACAACATGAAATTTGAAGAACAAAAGAATGAAATAATGAAGTGTAAATTTTTTTGGAATGGAATCGGTTGAGTGTTTAAGGTCAGCCTCTTTTCCTTAATTAACATTATCTCATAAATGAGGCACTCAAACTTTCCTCGGCATTTCTTAAGGATCTTAAAACATTCTCGGAGATTAGTTGGCTCTTGTCGGTGTTTTTCTTTGAGGTGTTCGCCAATTACAGTGTCCAAATTCAAAAGGAGAAAGTTAACAAGTTACAAGCACTTACCTACATTCTCGTTAAAGTTGTTTTAGCAGCCACCGAAATCAGAGGCCTTTTTGAGGTTTCTCAATTTAATACTTTGGAGATGAGGTAATTTTTACTGATACTTGTTTTCTTGATCGTCAAACAGAACCCCCTACTGAAGACATATTGCAACAGAACACTCTATGGCCTGAAGTGCAAAAACTGTGAGTTAAAATTATGTTTTTGTACAATAATCTTTAGGATAAGGAATATGCCAACAAATCGGTGAACAGCAACAACAACAGCAACATTATCGCTTACTTATATAACTTTAACGAGGGAATTTTTATCCAAGTGTATTGTTCCTTTGTTGCTTCTTAAGTAATAGGCCACTTCCGAGATCCAAAAACCCTCACTTTCAAAATGAGGCTAGGTGCACAACCTTTCTTGTGAAAATGAGTTTTATTTGCACGAGAATGAAAAATGATTTCCATATCAAAAGCTGAGCTCCTACCCTCGCTTTGAAACCGAGGTCTGGGGGAACTCGGAAATGGCCTGTTGGAATAGCGTTGTTGGCATTAAAGTTCCGATTTCATTTACATGTAGTTTTTTTCCCTTTTCGGCTGTACAGATATGGCCACGGGTACGAAATATTTTGTGTTGCGTCAAGTCCGGATGGCAAATTACTAGCTTCCGCTTGTAAGGTTTGTATTTGTCCTTCTTTTACTCCGCAACTGACATTGGTTTGAACAGTGAAAGCAGATCTTGCTTAAAAATATATTAGCAGTAAAGTTATTAAGCTATTTTCCGCGCTACATGTAGGCATCGACTGCTAGTATGGCAACGTGCTCGATACCTTTTGTGTGTTTTCACGCGCTTGCTTCTGGTTGCATGCTTTTGTATCATTTTTGCTTCAAATTTCGGATTTTTTTATCGGGACCGGTTGCCTCTGGTAGTGTGCAAACCCTTAATTCTTGACATGATTCAATCAATCAATTTCAACAGCATGATGAATCAAAAACTGTTTCTATTTTCTCTCTCTAGGCATCAAAACCGGAACACGCAGCGTTAATATTATGGGATACAGCAACTTGGAGGCAGCTATGTTCACTTTCCTCTCACACACTCACAGTTACACAGATAGCTTTCGATCACAGCGGTCATAGGCTACTCTCTGTATCACGTGATCGATGTTGGTCTGTTTTCAAAAGAAAGGATGAATCTGCGGAAGGTCTGTAATCGCTTTTAATCCTAGGGGAAAGTAAGATTTAAATTTCAAGTGAAAAATTTGACAAGGACTCAAGTGTGTTTGTCTGTTATAGGCAACATGTATGTTAGTTAGAATAATTAAAGAAAGGGTAGACCAAGTAACGCTTGCTGTATAGAAAGAACATGGCAACAACATGCTCACTTCTACGCAAAGATCTCGTCTTCAAAACATTTGCCTCTTCCTTGGAAGTTTCAGGATATAATGGGAAGTTTATTATTGCGGACAATTTTTATGTTATAGTTGTCATCTGCTGTTGCTATGGCGGCTTTGAGGCGGTAGTAGGGCTTTTTTATGCATGTTTTGCGCCTGGAGATATTTTTTACTGATCAAACAAAAATATGTGGCTAATGTTTTCGTTTGATAATGAAGAATCAAGCGAATGGAGGAGGGTCGGTCTTGGCGGATAACGCTCTCCTCTATTAGCCTTGGACTAGGCTCCTTGGTTGGGAAAAAGGCGAAAGAAAAATGGCGTGAAAGAGGTGGCGAGCGAAGCTTGCCGAGCAAGGGATACCGAGCCAAATCCAATAATTGCTAAATATTGTGTGTTTTCACATTACGTCATGGCGGCCATATTTGTGTCCCAAAACAATGAAACGGCGGCCACGTTTGTGTCCCAAACCAGTCCTGTGGGAGTTGAACTCTTTTCTTATGTAAACGCTTTCTTTAATTTGCTCCATTAAGTTTGAATAGTTGCTGGCAATGTTAGTGAAAACACAGAATAGGCATAACGATCTATTATTTTCCAGGACCCCTGTTTAGATTAGTAACGCGGAGTGACAAAAAGAACCAGCATGCGAGAATAATCTGGTCGTGTGCATGGAGTTCAGATGACAAATACTTTGCTACTGCGTCAAGAGACAAAAAGGTAACCTTGAAAATTTCGAGGGGGTCTTTCCATCTAGCATTCTGACAAGTGAGTAGGTTGTGACTTCAGCCTTCGCTGTACTGATTTGGTGTTATGTATCTATTAGGTTATTATATGGGGCGATGTTAACCTTCCCAGGGACAACTGGCAAGCTGTTTCCAGTTCTTTAGACGTGGGCGAACCGGCCACCGCAGTGGATATTTCACCTGTAGTTACCAGTAACTGTAGGTAAGTCTTAAACACCTATGAGATGAGAAATGGAAGAGAATTCATATGTTGTTGTTGTTGTGATTTTTCTTTTCGTCGGTTAACAGACACCCTTATAAAAGCTATTCTGTTTGAATGCTAGCGTGCTAAATTTTTACTCCTTAGATGTCTTCTATTTTGTTGATCTTTTTGCTAACTGTACTAATTGAATGCCTTGCGAGAGGTCCCTAATTTTTGGGTGGATTTTAATGACTCGCATGTTATATTTTTCACGCTAGGTATACTGTTGCTGTTGGTACCGAGTCTGGTCGTATCGCTCTTTATTCTTGGTATCTAAATGAAGATGGCAGACGGTCTGGAGGCTGGAATCTGCTGCATGCTTTCGACCAATCGTATCCTCTATATGTATACACTGTAGAAAATAGCAGCAACTTTGCGATTCTATACAGCTCTTTTTTGCAGGATTCAAGTGATTTTATTACTTAAACAGTTAAAGTGAAATCGTGGATTCGGGATTCGGTACTTTAAGCACGATTAGCTTAGGCTTCTGTTTTCGGTAACTACAATAAGAGCGTCGCGTCCTACCTCTCTCTGGTCCATCCCCCGGTCCCCCACCCCCCCTCTATCTCTCCCTCTTCTTCGCCCAGCCCTGAGTGGGATGCAGGTCCATCGCTGTGTACTCTGATGCTTTGTCACCCGCATCATTTATCCTACTAGGGATAGATGTTAGCCTGCGAAAACAGCCGTTTCTCCTCGCTCTTCGCCGCTCGGGACTTTTCCTCGCAAAACGTCCCCAGCGGCGAGGGGTGAGGAGAAACGACCGTTTTCGCAGGCTAGATAAAGATGTTCCTTGTCAGGACAACCAAAGACAATAGGCCAGATTCAGTTTTTTAAAATTCATACTTGGCTCCGAGGCTGTTGGGTAACAAACAAAAGAAATCGCATTGAGATTCAGGGCTTAATAATTCATTTCTATTGTTTTATTCCCCCGGAAGAAATGTTGATAAAACGATTCTGGCCTAACATTGAATAACTCGGTAATAGCAGCCTTATGAAGTAATACGGTGGTGCCGCTATGCCAATCTCGCTCCGCCTGTTGCAGGCCTGGCTTTTATTTTAGTTGTCAACATTATTGTTTTCCTTACATCAAGTGGCTTATAATGTACAGGATTTGTCACGTGCTCACAGTACGTCGGTTGCGATGGAGAAAAACTAGTGAATATGAAGATAACTCTTGTTTACAGTTGGCAAGTTGCAGCTTGGATCACAGCGTTCGAATATACAATATCGACATTACTAGTTGACGAACTGTGGTCATGGAACTGTCTGCGTGCTATTCCCCAGTTCAGGCTTGCTCTAGGGAGAATGGGCGCAAGTTTTGGGTTTAGTGATTTCTGGGATCGAATGGGTGAACAAACTTTAGTTATGATTGGTTGATTGATAGTTTTCAAGGCAACCCTTTAACCAATCATAAATTACCCTTCTCCACCCAAACGATCCCAGAAATCGTTGCGCCGAAAGCTTTAACCCGAATGGGAAATACTAAGAACGTTTGTCTTCCATACACAAACAAGATCTGGGCTCACACCGTTAGAAAACGCTGAAAAATTGTAGGGTCTTTTAACTATACATCAACATCTGATTATCCGCACGGGACGTTCATTCATTCGAGCGGCGCTTTTACCCTTCACTTTCTGCTAAAAGCGATCTGAATAACACTTTCCGTCCGTTCCTAGTAAGTTATCCTGCAGAATTCAGAATACGCCTTTACAGTCTCTGTGTTGATTGGATAGAAGAGTAACAAACTTGAGTCCAGTGAAAAGTACGGTGTCTTCTGGTTCAGTGTCAATTCAGCATTCTAAGGGCAGATGTGGCCTGGAAACGATGTTAATGGAGCGAGGAGGTGTGAGATTGATTTAAGACGTTTATCCTGAATAAAGCAATTCAAAGTCAGTTCAACGCAATTTTTTTTTTAATTAGAACCTGAGGATTTTTTCTCACGTGACGTTTCTACGAGGCCTTTTGAGTAGTGGTCCCAATTAAGGCCCCGTTATAGCAGAAGCTACTGTATTCTTCCGTCAGACTGTTTGGTTATCGCCCACTTATCACTTGTGGTAGTGTGTTACACCTCATGTTATTGGCAGACCATTTAAAAAGCCATTTCTGAGTTGAATAAACAAGGTACACGTAACATGCCAATGCAAAGACTGCAAAAGCCCGTCAGGTGTCAGAATATTTTGTTGCTAATTAAAACAACAGCAAAACGAAGTTGTGGCCTCTTCACCCGTCCACCAAATAACCCGAGGGAAATCTTGTGCACCCCTCACAAAAAGTCTGTGGTACAAGCTAACATTTTCGGTTCTTTAAACACTGTTTGTACAATATTTAGTGCTTGGATTGACTGAAGGAAAATTTTAAACAGAAAAGTCGGCCATAAGTAGCGGGCAGTCCAACATAGGGTAATCATAATCATAAAACAAGGTCACTGGCTGAGGTTCTTGTGGAGACAAAGTCCCAGCATATCCAAAGTCTCTTAAATTCATGCTGGCTTCCATTTCTTCCTTGTCGCCTGTCTCTTTTGGCTGGTAAATTCGAATGTTTAACGTGCATGGTCCTAGCTCCCGTTTTACAATCAGTGATATTCCATATATGGAGATGTTGGAGGGGACTTGGGCACTAATTTGACCTGGTAACGAGGCAATGTTTTGAAAAGGCAGACCGCGCAAGTCTAGCATAATGTACCTACAGGAAAGAAAAAAAAGAGATATACGAGAGATTAGAAAACACCTGTGTTTTCGGCAAACCCCGGAAGAAATGAACACGTAAAGAAATTTCCGTCATTTTTCACCTTTGCTGTTTTCAATGTGGAGATTTTGATTTCACGGTAGAATAAAAACGGGTTTTTGGGCGTTGGATACATTTGGGATCGTATGCTTTCAATCTTAATTCTGCATTCAATATTTTATGTTGTATATGAAAAATTGCTATGTATTCACTAGGCCTAAAATTCACCAACACATGCTTTCATAAAATTATGAAGAAATTGACGGAATCTGATCGACGAATATAATGATCCATCACTCTCCATGCCGTGAACGTCCACCAGGCTAATAGAAGTGATATGGTAAGACACGAGGACGACTACGAAGACGAGATCTGACTTGAAGTACTGTTTGCGTATTCTGAAAAAATAGACACTCCAGAAAGCTTCATTTTACCTTTTTTCACTAGAAAAAAAAAGTTATTTCTATTGCTCCGGGAGGTTAAGCCCTCTCTAGCCGATCGCTTTTTTATTAAAAAAATTCTAGCATTTTATAACTTTTTTTCCGCCTGTACGATATTTTCGCTAAAACCCGTGGCAGATTGATTGTTGCGTTTTCCCGCCAAAATGACACGCTGGTTCAAGCGCGCGCACAACTTGTTCTCGTAGTAGCCCTCGTCTTAGAATCTAAACGGCTCTCTAACAACAACTTAACCTTATCAGCAACAACTAACCCAAGGACGTCTTCAACAATGGGTTCCCATAATCCCACATTGCAGTTAGGGCAGGGTCGTAGCTGTATCTGCTGAGTTGGTGTCTCCTCGTTATCTTCTTTCTCAGCCGTCTTTCTGATACGTTCACTTCCGAGTTTCAGTCGTCTGCTCAGCTTTTTAAATTCGCGGTAATCAAGTTGTTGGTCGCCATCTGAGTCCAGGGCCATGGCAATGATGTAAATTTCCACCTGAGTTGCCGGAGCTCCTGTTATTACAAAATGTGACAATGTCACTTAAGCAGCAAGTTATTAGGAGCATATAAGGGCTGCTACTGAGGCCGCAGTTGAGTAATTAGCTTGTAGGCTAAAACAACGATTGAAAGCGACGGACGGAACAGCATCAGGGAAAAAAAAAAACACGAAAAGGCACTGTTCTGACTGATCAGAATTTACAACGGTTCTTTGAGTTGGTGCAAGTGAAGCATTTTTATCAGAGCTTGTGATAGGTGCCACCCACATAGAAACGCTGATGACGCCATTACGACCCTATAGCAGTGCGTTTTTTTTTCTTTTGTCACGGTGACGCGTGACGTGCTGACAGTTGTAGGGTAGTTCTAATCCTGAAAATGCGGGTTACAGACTGATCTGTTGCTTCACGTGAAAAGGGATACATACTATAGTTGTTCACAACTAAAATACTTTTAAAGTTTTGATAACAAGAAGCTCCACCCGCGACCAAATTAAATGAGTTGTTTATATGCTATTGTTATCTGCTAACAAGTTCATGAATCTAGTGTATGTGATAATAGTAAAATTAGGTTTTTCTGTTATTTTGCTTTTTCAGGGAAAGATCACTGACATGTATATCAGTGTTTCTTACCTAATTCCCTCATGCCATCGGCAAACTCTTCGTACGATAGTTGTCCGCTGTTGTCCGAGTCAAATCGGCGAAAAAGATCAACCATTCGCCCATAATTTTCACTCATCCAGTTTAGCATACGATGTTGAAAGTCGCGAAAAACCGTTTTGTTGAGCGACTTCGCCTCGTTGTTAACGGAAGGGGAAATACTCTGTTTGAGAAAGACATGAAAGCAAAGTTGTTAAGAGATGAAGTGTTTATGTATAGCACCGATTCCGATCAGATAACGACGGAAACATTGCTGTTCGCTGGACAAGGTGTTGACAGAGCATCAGTCCTAGTTTGATTATGTAACTGACGCTTTTTTTTTTCATGAATTCAAACGCAACTTCATTCAGACACTTAAATTTAAAACAGTGAAGTAAGTGATGTTTCAAAAATAGCTTATTCTGGCCGAAAGTCATTCGAGCACTAGTATATACCTAGAAACGAAACAAAACATGCATAGAAAAACGATGCTAGGTGAAATGAAGAAAACAAGGCAAAAAAATTATGTATATAAACAAAAAAAAAACTGATAAGTTCACCTTTTCCGCCATTGATATCTTCGTCCTTTTAAGCAAAATTTTTTTTGTTCAGTTTTAACAACAAGGTGTTCTAATGATGAAATTGTAATGTGATTCATTGCGCTAAAAGCATTTTTATCCACCACATCCAATAAAAATCAAAGTTTTTACTGCGCGAAAAGGATTTTGATTGTTGCGGTTTTCTTATGTTTGTGTTTTGCTGATCGTAAAGATAATGTTATGAAGCTGATAATGATTCTGCAAGAAAATTACATATAAAACCTACCTCAATTAGGTGAAAAGTGTGAGGTGAACTATATTTTGAGGTTTTCGTAAATGAGTTTCTTTTACTGGCAAAAACACCTGCGGAAAGGTTTTTGCTGAACTCGGCTTTAAAGACAAAGATGTTTTAATCACTCAGTCTGTTGCATTAGATGTGGTTTGGTTGCTTTGTAATTTTTCCTGTAAGAGGTGACGTAAGTCGATGAGGCTTTTGTATTGTTAATGGCAAAAATATATAGCAAGGTGGAAATAGGAACGAATAGGTTCTGTTAATTTTTAAAATTATTGCTTTTGTTTGTTTGTATGTGTTTTTTGCCTCTCATTTTTCATCCGTTCAACGCAAGCAATACCATACGACTCACTTTTAATTTTTGTCTTGTTTCTTATAATAACGAGTTTAAGTAGGCAATTCGATACAAATGCTTCCGCAACCTACAGCGTCACTCCATAACCAGAGGTCGAGGGTTCTATCCACGGGACGGGACCAATAAGCAGGATCTAACTGGAAAAACGAATAGAACTCCGGTGTCCCGAATGACCACATGAAATATAGCTGGAGAGTCCAACAGGGATAGAGAAGTTCCATCGCCTCTTTTCTATTGGCAGCCCATGTCACTGAGGCTTCCCAAAAGGAGCTAGTAGCGCGACCATTTGATTTCCCAGCCCCAATTTCCGGTTTCACCTTGTAAATGATAAATGCACCTTGTCTCAAGTAGAAGACGTTTTTTTTTTTGAAACGGTCACCTCATTCAGAACTGTCCTGTTAAAAACTTGGACACTTAAAAAGGGGTTGTTTAAATTTCATAAAGTTTCAGTCATCACTTAACCAGTTTTCTACATTAGAGTTGGAGAGCGTTTTGCATTTACCAAAAACTTTCGGAATCTTCTAAGGAAAGGAGAAAAACGGGTTACATTTGACATTTGTTCCCTTCTCTCACCAGATAACACCATGAAAGCCTGGAACTAGTCTGTATCCTTGTAAGGAACTCGTAAATGGAACACGCATTTCCCCCGATCAACCGGAATAATTCAGCGTAAAAGCATGTACTTTTTCAAAGTTCCACATATTTCTGGGAGTTTTCCAGTAGAACGCACAAAAACAAAACAGGTAGCTGAAATACGAAGAAGTTTACATTAGCGAGTTTACGCAACAGGACAGAAGGAGGAAGAGAACGGCAAAACGTTTGTGTGTGACAAACGTGACAGGCCTAGTACTTATATGTTTTGTCGTGATCTTCACTTAACGTTCATGTTTTCTGGTCTTTTACAAAAAAGAAGATCTGTGTAAAGAAAACTGATTAAAAAGATTGAGAGAAAATTTTTTTTCCAACAAAATTATTGTCACGCTTGTCACACAAGGTTTGCCGTAATTTCACTATTATCACCGCGCGCCGTTTCTTGCAGAGTAACGGTTTCTCGAAGCAGGCTACTCGTAAAGTGTGTTGAGAATTAAACAATTTGTAATTCCCTCAGTTATTTTTGTTTTTCTATCACTACTATTATTTTCCAAAGTATAAACGTAAATCATTGCGTAATCAATAGACGCCAAGCATGTTCCTTATATACGGAAAAATACCGTTATTTTTATAAGTAAATTTAACAAAATACTGAACTTAAATAAATTCTATTATTCAACATCACGTAAAATTTAATAATTGTACCCGGTCCTTTTCGTTGTAATAAATGTTATCACTTTCATGTGTGAAATTCATTAAATGGACGGCGGCCAAAATATCAAAGCTGGTCGAACCGAAATAATAAATTAAAGCAATTTCCCGGCTAGGTTATAACATTCCTCTTACAAATTAACACGTTTTATCATTTATCTAACCGTTCTTTGTTTGTTTTTTAAAGTTAAAGCTAGTTTTCACCAGCGACCGAGTCGGAGTCGTTATCAGAAACGATCTAGTGAAACTCTTCTGCTTCCTGCTTTCACTAGATCGTAAACGACGGAGTAGTATGTAATGGAAACGTTCTGATTCCCCCGACGCGTATTCCGTCGCGCTTATGACTCTGCTTATGGCTCCGATTTTTGATTTTCACAAGGTCACAATCGTTCTTACGGCTCCGCTTGCCATTCCGACTCTGTCGCTAACGTTCATTTTTCATTCAAAGCCCCTTGAAATTCTACATCACGTTATACAAATATAACTTTTATGTTATGCCTGTACAGTACGGGGATCCATATGAGTATAATCGTTCATGTAAACAGGTAAAGCAGCTCTTTGTTTGTTGGTTTTTTTGTTTTTTGTTTATCAAGTATACTTCATTAAATAATACGCCTTACCAAAAAGGACTACACAGGTAGGATATACCCAGTCAATAATTACTCAGTACTCTCAATATGTCATGAGCAAAAACAACATACTTGAACTCTCACTTTTGAGGGTATGCACTGATCACTCTAGGCTGAACAAAAACGGCATTTAACATAGCATGCGGGAGCCTTTTCATGACGTACCATCTTAAATAGAAAACTAAAGAGAGACCCAATACAACAGAATTACAAAACAAACTGTAGTCCAAAATTTAGAACTCTTCAGAGTTCCTTGACGCGCCGCATTCCTGTGTCCACTTTAATATCCAAGCTAAGCATTCTGGGCATGCGCGTTATCAAAAAAAAAAAAGCTCAGCATTCTGGGCATGCGTGTAATGAAAAACTCATATGATAAACGCAGAACTGGTAGGTCTGAATTTTCTCGACTTCTTCCGGAAGGACAACCTGCCAGGCCCGAAGCACGAGAATAAGTTTGATTTCTTTTTACTTTCTTTTACTTCCTGCAAATCGATCAGAGTGGATGTAACCACGTGATCCCCATTAGCTTCAGCGAGATTTGCACCATCCGTTAAAACCGCTGGGCATTCCTCACTAATGGAGGCTCCGTCTGGGTCACGTGATAGTAATGGAACACTGTTGGTTTTCACTTCGTCCAGATCATTCTCAGCGTCGCCTAGCCAATCAGATTCACGATATTCTTCATCGAGCGTAGGTTCCTCTGATAGCCTATGTAAAGAAAGAGATGAAAAAATGTCACGCAAATTCTACATAGCATTCCACAAGTTCTGCGGCAAATGAATATCCGTGATGTGTTTTGACTACGGCCCTACCAAAAAGTATTCGTTTTTTTCTTTTCTTTTTTTTTTGAACACTCATTTTCTCCTTCCTTATTTTGAAATTTTTTTTCCAGTTTTTAATGATACGGATAAGTGTGGAGGGGACCTGAATTTTCCTCCCACAAGGCTGCTGGCTGGTACATGGGAAAAACTGAACCTCTGGTTTGAAAATCAAATGGTTCGCGTCATTCCGTTTGGGGAGCTTCAGAAGACGTGGGTTGTCATTTGAGAGGGGTGCAATCTTTTTTAACTCTATTTATTCTGTCCAGCTGATTTGGAAGTATATTGTCGCGGGTCCTTCTCCCCCCACGTCAAATTTTATAGTTTTGTGTTTATTCACAAGATTTATGTCCATCCCGGTGGTTTGTGTAAATGGTAAGCACACCTGGATACTAGGGATTTTCGCGCTCTGTAAAAGGCGACTTCGCCAATGCAAATTCGGGGTAGTAGTTATTTGGTTATATTCCTCCTGGCAATGACATTTTTTTTTCTTTCGAATATTAACTTGACTACTTTCTCACTTGTCAAGAACGGCCCTCCCCTCTTAGTTGGTCTTAGTGAGACATTCTTAAGACCACAATAAGCTTAGGACGTTAGAAGTTTTTAACTTCGGTCCATTTCCCACAAATGCGTTTTCAAAAGTATGCGTTTTCGTTATCATCCAAAACGCATCGATAGACTGTCCACACTAAAGCGTTCGAAAACGATGGAATTGCAGCTTAGAATTGCACGTTGTGACGTCAGTAAAATTCTATGTGCATGCTACAAACACGCGCCTGCGATACTTTTATCGTTTTCATTTTGATGTGTTTTCGACAGTCCACACTAATACGATATGTATGCGTTTTCCTTGATCCACTTTCAAGAGCGATTTCAAATCGATGCGTTTTTGGTGAAAACGCTCAGCGAATTAGTGTAGACTGAAGGCCTAAACGTGTCGAAATGCACACGTTCTTAAACGAAAACGCCCAAGTGTAAACGATCCTTAAACACACGCGCTTGTCATTTTTTACAGTAACATTAGCGTGCCAATTCAGTCAAACGGGAAGGGACCTTTTTTTAGGAAAAAAAAGAAAAATGAAAAGAAAAAGTAACAACTACATACATATCGGGCTTTCGGTGCAACAAGAATTGTGAACTGATTATACTCAAGAGAAAACCACAATCGTATGTACCCATGATGGTCTCACCTGGATGTGATTTCATTTCT